CAATCCACTCACCTCAGCCTCCCAAAGGCGCAGGATTACAGGCTGAGCCACCGAGCCCGGCTTCTTTAGATCTTAACCTTCTAAAATGTCTTCGTCATCTGTTTCCTCTTTGCTATTTCTACCACCATGATGAAAGCCTTCATCGTCCCTCAGCTGGATTACTGCAGCGATGGTTTATTTGGCTTTCCCAGCTCCCTCCCATCTTTCAAGCCCTTGAATGAGTGACCTTTCTGAAACATGAATCCAATCACTCTCATTTCTGTTTACAAGCCACCCACAGCTCTTGTTGGCCTACTAGGCACAGCCTGGCACATAAGGCATTTCTCAACCAGATTGGTGACTAGATGTCAAGTCTCATTCCCATCTCCTTCCCCAGTCATCCTCTCCTGTGAGTGAAGATCCAGACCACTGGAGCTACAGACCACGTTCTCTCACACCAAGCTCTGAGCCCCTTGGTCTTTCTTACTGATCTCCGGGCATCTGAGTCCACTCTGCCTGTACTGCTAGCTTCAGATTTCTTAAAGAAATGTGTGGTTCCAAGGCACCTTAAGACACTTTACAATAAGCTGTTATCCTTTCAACAACTCTACCAGGTTGCACAGTCTTACTGCCTCCATTTAACAAAGAAGCAGACTCCAGGTGGCTGAGGAGCCAGGATGGTTACCAACAAGGAAATAGTAAGTGAATGAGCCGAAATTTAAAGCAGGCCAGGCTGCCTCTATGCCTGTGTTTTAGATGAGAACAACCCTGACAGTCTTGCTGATTACATTTGTCACCATACTTTCACCTGGAGGGAACGACCAGGAAACAACATCACTGCTTTAGGATCTCATAGGCCCAGCCCACAGGACCCTCAGAAGCGGTCACTTCGAGACATGGCTGGTACCACACTTTCAGTCCAACTCCCTGCACGTGCCAGCATCCTGCGACGGAAACACATGTGTGTTTCACCCTGACACAAAACTTTTCACATTCCCACTGAACCAAAATGAAGCCCTTTCAGGAGGGAGCATAAAACTTCAAGCAGTCTGTCTCCAAGGAAGGGGAAATGTCCAGAACTGAGCCTCAACACTGTTTCTGACTTCATGGTCTAGACAGAACACTCAGATGATGCTCCATCTTTGAGAAGTGAGGGTCTAGCTCTCTCCTCTTGAGTCTGATTTTATTAAACAATTGATACCAGCCTATATAGTTATTTTTGTTATCAAATGCTAGCATTTGATACGATGCAAATGTCAAATGATATAGGCCATAGGTGACCAATAAATGTCTGTTGAATGAATAGCACGTGAAAATGCCATCACACACATATACACACAACTATAGCCAAAGGGGAAATTGCTTCAATAATTACTTATAATGTAAAAAATATGTATCTTGTTTCCTTATTACTTTATATTGGGGTCAAAAAGTTCCAGCCACAAAAACCCCTGGATCAAGTACCAGTTCTGTGACTGCGTGCATGACCCTAAGCAAATACACATCTGTGTCCTCCTTTTTTAAATCAAGGGATTCTAAGTAGTAGATAGAAGCAGTCCCTTTTATTCCTAATATCCAGAGACTTAGTCTTACGTTTATGATGTTTTTCCATTAGGCTAAGACTACTTATTTTAACCCCAGGGGAACCTATCCTACATGATCATTTTTAAACGGCTTTTTAAACTATATGTATCTAAGGTATATGGCATGATGTTTTGATATACACAGAGAAATGGTTGCTGTAGTCAAGCAAATTAGCATATCCATTATTTCACAGAGTAACCTTTTCTTTGGTGGTGATCATACCTGGTTTTGAAAGCGGTAGTCAGGGATGATGGGTTGGAATTTAATTCCAAGATTATTTTAGAAAAAAAGGACTATAGAATGCATTCAAACACATGCTCAAACATTATTCATGCCATTCAAATCGAATTCAGGCTGGCATCACCCAGACTGCACAATCACACATGGAATATCTACTACATTCCCTGCACACATGAGCAGATTCACGCACATACTTGTGTGAAAATGGCTCTTGACCTTGAGCCTATTGAAATGTTTATTGAACTGCTATCAGGTGCAGGAAGCAACATAAATGTAAACATTCAGGTAATTATACAGGCAATTCTCGATAGAACTAAGTGACAAGGAAAACTGCTATGTGTTGTCATCGCTGACACATGCACACAGTCACCAGTTGCTAGGCTCTCAGAAAGTTTTGTTTAAGTGAACCTAACTTCTCACACATGACAGCCACTGGGTGCCCTAGGTAAGATCAAATGATATTGACATAGGTGGCCAATAAATGCCTGTTGAATGAATAGCATGTGAAAATGCCATTACAAGTAACGCTATGAGAAAGTTAAGTGTATTGATAACATTACTAGGTAAGTGCCATGTCATTCTTTTTAAGAAAAAAAAAAAAGTATCGCTAACACTCTTAAGGCTCATTTTCCATCCCAAATCTGAAACACAAATTACAGAAGGATGATTGGAGAGGTTCCTTTTCAATCTCTTTGGTGTTCACAGTCAAGGAAAACATTCCCACGAAAATCCATTTACTAAATAAATACGCATTGGGCAAAGAATGTATGTACCAACATATTACTGATTAAACAGGGGCCCCTTGGTCGAAAAAAAAGAAATCAAAAAAGGAACACGTTAAAAGTGAGAAAGCCCTGGTTTGGCACAACCTATTTGCTTCACATTTTAAAAAATCAGACAGTTTTATATTGGATTAGTGTCATTTCAAACCGATCTCTGGCGAAGCCCAGTTGGGGAAGGAGGAGGGAGCGCTAGAGAGGTTCTGGGCAGAGGGGGAGTCCTCCGAGGGGCGTTCGGCCATCAGATCTGCAGAGAAAGGCAAGTTCACGGCCCAGGGCTGAGACGTTTCCCTGTGGAAGCCGACTCACCTTCCCTCCTGGAGGTGGCCCGGGCTGCAGGCAGCAGGAGCGAGAAGCAGAGGCAGCAGCCGAGCCAGAGCGCGCGCATGGCTGGGCCGGGAGGGCTGGGCCGGGGGGGCCGCGCCGTGCTCCGCTGCAGGGCTCGCTGCCGGCTCCCGTGGCAGGTGGGTCTCCCTCTGCGCCCCGCTGTGCCTTCCTTCTCCCGGATCAGGTGGTTTTATCGACTCTTCTACCTGACTCAGTCCTGACAGGAAGAGAGCCTGTGTTTCAGGGTGTGACTCACCTGTGAATAAGGAGGACCCAGCCCTCCGACACAGACAAACACACGCGGCGCACGGCGAGCTGGAAAAGCGCCGGTCTGGCGCACGCTCCCCCCTCGCCGCGAGGAGGGCGCACACCTGCGGGGCCAAGGGTGTGGCGCGGAGGCTGGGCCCCGAGATCAGTCTCCTGGAATGTGCCCGATCCCCCCACCGCCTAGCCCCCCGGTCCCCCTTCTCTCCCGGGGTGGTCCAAGGCAGGATTCACGGGGGGTAGAGGGAAGCCCTCTCCCTTCCTCAAACTGGGAGGCCCAACTTCAAGTGCGCTAACTCAGAAACTAGTCCGTGGCCTTTTCTGGTCTGAAAGACATCAAGGAAGACAAGTCAGTCGGGAGTCACAGCAGGGCCCTCTCTACCCTCGACTTGGAGGCGAGCTCTCTGTAAAATACAGCAGTCTCGTTCTTTCTCTGGCAATCAGGCTGGGTCCTCATAACTTCCTGATCACCTGAGCTAGCAACTCAGGAAGTCACCAGTGGACTGGCCAACCTCTGAATGAAGACTGGGAGTCACTTTGTATTCCTAAGAAATAGGTTCTCTAACTCACAATTGGTGATCAATAGATAATTTGGTTGACTTAAATAAGAAAGAGGATCCAAGTCTAAACTCTTTTACATCTTTTTCATGCCGGTCTCTATGCACCCACTAGAAAATGTTTGTTAAGACCAACTGTGTCATCCACTGGGCCAGGTGAGGCAAGTGATATCTAGACCAGCAGTCCCCAACCTTTTTGGCATCAGGGCCTGGTTTTGTGAAAGACAATTTTTCCACAGACAAGTGGGGGGTGGGGAGGGAGATGGTCTCAGGATGATTCAAGCTCATTGCATTTATTGTGCATTTTATTTCTAGGATTATTATATTGTAACATATAATGAAATAATTATACAACTTGCCATAATGCAGAATCAGTGGAAGCCCTGAGCTTGTTTTCCTGAAACTAGATGGTCCCATCTGGAGGTGACAGAAGACAGCGCTCACATCACCACCTCAACTGCAGGCATTAGATTCTCGTAAGGAACATGCAACCTAGATCTCTCACATGTGCAGTTCACAATAGGGTTTGTACTCCTATGAGAATCTAATACCTCTGATGATCTGGCAGGAGGCGGAGCTGAGGCAGTAATGCAAGCAATGAGAAGCGACTGTAAATACAGACGAAGCTTCACTTGCTGGCCTGCCGTCCACCTCCTGTTGTGCAGTCTGGTTTCTACCAGTGTGTGGCTTAGGGGGTGGGGACTCCTGATGTATACAACTGTGGATCTTGGTATGATCTACACTGTTCCTGTCCCTAAGGAGGCTGGTGGCAATAATTTGGCTCCTGCTAGATATTTTTAAATGACCAGAGGTTTATATATACACAATCTGTCCAAAAGAACCACTCCTTCTTCCCATCATGAAGGCCTACAAAGGCTCCCAATAAATAGCTGTTCACTGACTATAGGAATGAATGTTCTCTAGGTTGTTCTATGAATGATAAAAACATCAGATAATGAACAGACAATATGAGATGTACGTAATCATCAGAGGGTGTAAGAAATCCAGTTTCCTCATATCATGAAGTCCAGGGTGGGCTGACAGGGACAGTCAGGGATGGCTTTGTACAGACTTATATCAGCAATAACTGAGTTCAAGAACAGTAGGGGCAAGACAAGTTACTGCAAACTGACTGATGCCTACTCTAAAATCTCCAGTGACAAAAAAACGAGGACTAGAAAGGAAACGCCCCCTTTCTTATCTCAGGTTGGATTCTCTTCTACTCAGCCCAGGATTCAAGCAAATAGCATAAATAGTCTTCTCTCGCAAAACTCAGAGTATCCAGTTACCGCTAACCTCTTAGTTTACAGAGACCAGGTAATTAGAAGTCTCCCTTCTGGTTGTTGGTGCCTTGTGGGGGCTGAGATCCTGTCCCTGATTTCTATCTGTGTTGTGCAATTCACTACAGTCCTACAGGGACAAGGAACAGGACCCTATAATATACAATCCTGAAGGTAAATTTCATTTTAGTACAGATTGCTATAGTTTATTATATCTCAGGAATTGGAACAGGTATTTCCATCTACCATCATTTTTGGATAGTGATATTAATAATAGTGAACACATAAATAATGCTTACTATTTGTCAGTAACATAAATTCTTTATACATATTAACTCTAATCTTTAAAACAATCCTCTGAATTAGATGTGTTATTAATTTCCCTATTTTACAGATGAGAAAATACAGGCATGCAAAGGTCAAGTAACATGCTCAAAGTCACACTGCAAGCAAATGGCAAAGCCAAGATTCAAAACCAGGCAGTTGGGCTCCACAACCCATAAGCTCTTTGTTAGGTTAGATTAAAAAGTACCATTAAGAAAGACATTCAGCTGGGCTCAGTAGCTCAGCCTGTAATCCCAGCACTTTGGGAGGCTGAGGTGAGTGGATTGCCTGAGTCCGCGGGTTCGAGACCCACCTGGGCAACTTGGTGAGCCGTCATCTCTACAATAAATCAAAAAATTAGCCGGGTGTGGTAGTGCACGTCTGTAGTTCCAGCTACTTGGAAGGCTGAGACGGAAGTCTCGCCAGAGCCCAGCAGGTCAAGGCTGCGGTGCCGGGAGCGGCCACTGCACTCTAGTCTGGGCGACAGAGTGAGACTCCAACTCAAAAAAAAAAAAAAAAGACATTCACAATACTGAATGACATAAAAACATCAGATAATGAACAGACATGTTTTTAAATAACGTGTCGTCAAGGGTTATTTATCAACAACTGTTACAACCCAGCCAGATATAGACTATTGGCCTACATCAATAAATCTGAGTCACAAAGGACTTCAAACAAATAGACCAACCAGCAGCCTTTTTTATGTGTACAGTACAGGATCTTAAACATATTTTTTAAATGTGACTACCTGTAGACAGGTACTCTCCAACTTTTCTCAGTTCCCACCTCTGGGCCTTTTCACACATCTAACCAACCCATTTGCCTCAGACTTGAGATCCCTGCCCTAGCTTCATCCCTTACCTAGCTCAGGAACAATATCAAGCCCCTTTGTCAATCTGAGAACGCTTCCTTAGTGCATTGCTGAGGCTGAGAGTCCACATGTGGTCAGAAGTTGAAGAACTGGAGCAGATTTCCAGGGTTAAATCCTGGCTTCCTCATTCAGCAAGACAGGTTATATAGTTGCCTCTGATCCTCAGTTTCTTCATGTGTAAAATGGGGATAACAATGGAGTACCCTACCTAGTAGGATTATTGGGAAAATTAAATGAGTTGATCACCTATCTGTTGCTCAGAACAGCACCAGGCACAAAATATGCACTATACAGTGTAGCTTTAATAATCATTATTATTGCTGTGGTGAGTTTTTTTGTTTTGTTTTTAATTTGGAGTCTCACTCTGTCACCCAGGCTGGAGTGCAATGGCACGCTCACAGCCGCCACAGCCTCGACCTGTTGGGCTCAGGTGATGCTTCCACCTCAGCCTTCCAAGTAGCTGGAACTACAGGCGCATGCCACCATGCCTGGCTAATTTTTTTCTTTTTTGTAGAGATGAGGTCTTGCTAAGCTGCCCAGGCTGTTCTCAAACTCCTGGGTTCAGGCAATCCTCTCTCTTCCGCATCCCAAAGTGCTGAGATTACAGGCGTGAGCTACTGTGCTCAGCCTATTACTGTGGTTTTGAAAGGGCAGACCGAGAGTGGGAAGCCATTTTTCATCTTGTTCTTAAACCCTGACACAATAAGAAAGTAGAAGCTATGTTTTTACAGAAATGCACACTTTAGGTAAAATTAACTTTGCCGACTCTGTCTTTCCAGAAACAGACTTCCTGGTGCCAGGTATCTGAGGTATCTCATAGTGGCAATCAAGGTTGCCTAGAGTAAAGGGAATTTACAAGGCCTAAGACATCATGCATTGGGCAAGAATTGTAAAAGTCATGAAACTTGTAATTACAAATGTTATGACCGCTCAGAGGGAGATCAGGTGGGGATTTGATCTTCCAGTAAATTGGGCACTATCTACAGGGAAGTCAATGATCCCCTGAAGCTACCCACTGGGAATGCCTAGGAGATAAGGGGAGGTGCACCGTCCATTAGGTCTAAGGAATGTCGTTGGGGAAGGTACAGGAGAATTAGAATCCTTGTCATGCCCTTCTCTAGGGGCTATGATCATGTGGGCGGACATTAGTGGATCTCTGCGTCCCAGGTTCTCCAAGACATCCACAGGTGGTCGATAAGGAAGTCACAGCAGTCACGTCAACCTGATTGCAACATCTCCAAGGAAAAGGATTTAAGCCAGGACTTTGGGGGGCAACGAGTGAACTTTTCTTTTTTTTTTTTATTAATCAGTATTTTTTATTATGGTTTTGTGGGGTACAGTTAAGGGTTAGGTGTACAATGACGTTTCATTCAGGCACCCTGTTGATAAGAGGTGTTTTCCCATCCTCCAACAGATATTTGCTACTGTTAATCCCATCCCCCTCCCCCCCATAGTTTCCCAGTACCGTCAGTCATTTTCTTGTAGTATTACATTGAATGTTCAAGGTCCATTATATGAGTGAGAACATGCGATATTCGGATCTTTGTTTCTGTGAGAGGTCACTGAGTATTATAGACTCTAGTTCCATCCAGGTTGCTGCGAAATTCATGATTTTGTTCTTTTTTATGGCTGCGTAGTATTCCATCGTGTATATGTACCACATTTTTAAAATCCAGTCCTCTTTTGATGGGCAGCATGGTTGTTTCCAGGTTCTTGCTATTGTGAACAACACTGCGATAAACATACGTGTGCAGGTATCTTTTTTATAGAGTTATTTGTGTTCTTCAGGGTATATTCCCAGTAGGGGGATTGCCGGGTCATATGGAAGGTCAATTTTTAGAGCTTTTAGGAATCGCCACACTGCTTTCCACAGAGGTTGCACTAGTTTACACTCCCACCAACAGTGTAGAAGTGTGAACTTTTCTTAAATAAATCTTTTCTTCTCTCACCTCTTTGTGTTGCAAT